TGTTGCTGGAGGGTAGACATGGTAGACCTCATTGGGCTCGTGACTCATGTACAGTACCAGTACCTCCAAGGAATGTCTCCCTTTCAATGAAGTCACTGGCGCCCTTCGCTGCCTGCGCAAGCACTTCCACAGCTGCAGCCACAACCGACGGAGAGGGAGCCATCTTGACAACCACAAGCCCCGCAGCCATAGTCACAACCACAGCCACCAGAGCCACAGCCTTGGTAGCCTTCACAGCCATAGCCTTGGCATCCAAAGTTCTGACCATCACAGCCCTGGCCCTGACAGCCTGGATAACCCTGGCATCCATCACAGCCCTGGCCTTGACAGCCTGGATAACCCTGGCATGTGCCACAGCCCTGCTGACAGCCTTGACAACCTTGGCAGCCTTGACAACAGCCCTGGCAGCCTTGGTAACCTTGGCATCCATCGCAGCCTTGACAGCCACAACCATAGTTGCCACAGCTTCCGCAGCTGCCATACCCACCACCGCATCCGCAGCCGCCACAGCCACAGCTGCCACAGCCTCCACAACTGCCACATCCACCACCGCATCCGCAGCCGCCGCAGCCACAGTTGCCACAGCCAGCACTGCACCCGCAGCCGCCGCATCCACAGCTGCCACAGCCAGCACAACTGCCACATCCAGCACTGCACTCGCAGCTGCCGCATCCACAGCTGCCACAGCTTCCACAGCTGCCACAGCTTCCGCCGCATCCGCAGCTGCCACACCCACAACCGCAGCATCCACAGTTGCCACAGCCGCCGCAGCCACAGCCGCCACATGCACCACAGCCACCACAGCCACCAGCTCCGCAGCCACAGCCACAGCATCCACATCCTCCATTGCACATGCCATTACAACCTTGGCCATACATGTCCCCGCAGCCACCTGCGAAGCATCCCTGCGGATCGCTCGATGCCTGGCGGAGAAAGAGGGCGAGAACGGTGTGTCATTCCTTCGAGACGCGAAGAAACGGGTGGTTCAGCTCTTCCCAAGTCGGTTCGGGTGGAGTTCTTCTTCTATTTTCATGTCCAGAAACTGCACTTATGCCTACATAGAGGTGATTGAACACGAGATGCCTAGGCATGTGATTGAGTCCTTGGCGGGGGGAATAACGTTTGTCCCACATGACGGGGCTTGGCCAAAGATCAGCGATCGATCCAGCGGGGCCCAGCCGCCGAGTGTCTCGGAGGATCAAAGGGAGTGCCACTTCGCTGCCAGGCCGACTGGTTCACATGTCTCACCCAGTGCCGTGGTGCCATCCACGGCACCATATGATCCTTCCAGGGAGTGTATCTATCTGACTAGGAATGAGGCTGGGTCTCACAAGGTCTTGGACGGACGCCCAGGTCCGATGATGATGGTATCGGAAGATTTTGGGCCTTTGCTGGCGTTGTAGTTCAACTGAATACACCAATGAACACCATGAATCACATCAATATGAGTGCTGAGTGTGTATTCAAAAAAGGGAGACCATGGGAGACCTGCCAGTCCAAACCCCCCCTGGAAGAAGAGACCATCGACCAGTCTACCCGGCGCCAGGGCCAGGGTGGGTCCCACCATTTGCGGACGGCCGTCCAAGTCGCGAACGTAGACCGTGTATGACGGTGGGTACTGGTGGAGCTGAAACTATTAACCTTTGGTGTGAAGACCGGAGTCCAGTCGACTCAAAGACTATGAATGGTCTGACGAGTTCGGGGACCTGAGTGAAAGGGAACTTCCTGAACACTTCAGCCGGTCAAAATATAGTCGAACTGGACTTCTAGGGAAGATGTAGTTAACGTCTGTACAAGGAGTGTATTTGTTGTCGGGCGTTGCATCGATCTATAAATTCAAAAAAAGGCAGAAGCACAAAAACTAGTACATTGTTCCTCACCTTAACCATGATCAACCAAGTTCTCTCGAAGTCGTGTAACCCAGAAGCACTTAGTCAAGGTTGTGTGTATACTAATTAGGAAAAAGGGTCCAGAAGAGTATCCAAGCCACCAATCTTTTGCAACGAATTTGTAGGCACGCTCTTTCACATTGCAGCATGGTTGGAACGTCATTTCAGAGGGCATTACGCAGTGCAGTTTGAGGGTCTCCCCATCAAAAATGAGCCCCATTGGCTGTCCAAAGCGTGCCCCTGAACGAGGGTCGTGGTCAGCTGCTCGTGTTGTCCCAGTTTCGTCGTCGCCTCTTGGCTCTCGGAGGGGTCCGTGATGAAGTTGCCTGTCCACGCGGCGTCACGGCAGGGCGACTGATGACGGATCTGGGACGTCCCATCTGGGATGGGAAAAAGAGGAGCAAAGGGAACCACAGATTCGAAGTACCCCAGAAACTAGCCTCCTCAGGCTTGGAGAACGGAGGGCGGAGTGACCAAAAGGAGTGAATTGAGCGGTAAGCATGGCTTTTCATGGAGAAAGATGGAATCCCCCCGCTACTGGTGACCCTGAGCTGTCGAAACCGCAAAAGCATGCACGTTCGCTGTCGAAAAGCTCATGTCGAAACCCCTCAGCCAATGAGACTCCACTTTCTCGGCCCGTTCGAGCACGGACCTGTTCGAGCCGGTCCGCTCCGAAAACCGTCACCAATCAAAGGCCGAACCAGGCCAGCCCTGTTTCAGAAATCCGGGTCATCTGGTTCCATCTTCCATGTGTTCTGAGCATGGAGTGCACCTACCTCCTGTTTGTACCTTGGAAAATTGGTGCACTAGAGTACATGTTTTTGTAGGGTCATGGCCCATTTTCCAAGGTACAGTACTTTGGAGGGTCCAGGTACAAAGAATATCAAACAACATGTTCTCAGGTGTTCATCCTCTATGGCCGATCCGTTCAGTTCTCTCCACAAGTTTTGACTCCTGCCTTGCATGGCGGCCCTTCCACCTTGATCTGCCAGCCAAGACAGGTTGGGAGCAATCAAAGATTCGCACTGTTGGAGGATGACAAGTGTGTGCGGGATATTGCGGGATAGGGAAAACAACATGTTCCAGGTATTCACGGTATCTTTTTTGTAGGTGGTGGAGCACAGCACCACCAGGGTTTGCCGGAGGGTGAGGGGCGCAACGCGTAGTATAGAGAATACCTCTCCAAGAACAAGAGAATCCCCGAATCAAACACATCTACAGGCTTGAATCCTGGAACTTCTACCTCTGCACATCTCTGCACTGTTTGGATCAATTCCCCACTGAAGAGATCGCCTCCTCGAAACATGAAGAACCGGGCAAAACAAGTCAGCAACGAAATGGAAAGGTCAGGCCAGGCATACCTCGGCATGGACACCGACCATCTCGCCGAGGAACGCAGAGCTCGCGTTGGCCCCCCACGCGTTGGCCCCCAGCAGCGATGACGGGCCAATGGCGCGGCGTGCGGAGAAACAGTTGGATCTGTCAACGTGAGTGTAGTGACTGTGACTTCGTGCGAAACAGTTGCTAAAAGAAACTGACGCATCCATCCAGCCTCCAACCAGCAGAACTACCGTTAATTTTTCTGAATCTGAGGCGCAGCCACTGTCCTTAAGCAGTGATTTCCAGGACTGAAACCTCAAGCTGGAAACCCTGCTGAAATATGCTGGGATCCTCAGTGCTTGCTTTGGCCCTGGTTGCTTTGTTGGGGTCTATTAAGTGTAAGCTACCTCATCATCTGGTACCCAACTTCTTTTGGACTTCCAGCTTATTGTAGCTTGCTATAATAGTACATGGATAACCTAGCTTCTTCTCCACTTTGTCCTGTTCCAAGGCCAAAGGAACATGATCATTCTGAAACACACCAATCCCCAAACGAGACTAGATCCACTAAGAGAACCACAAGCGTTGGATATCTATAGATGATGTGAGGCTCAAGCTTCAGAGTTGCGATCCTTTGCGCATGATTGAGTTTGGAGACCTCAGAGTTGGTGTGCCCAACACAGGAAGGCTCCCACATGCTGGAAACACACTGGTAAGGGACAAGCTGGAACCCTTGGACTACTGGGCCTGGTGAATCCTGGCCAAGCAAAAGCTGTCTGAGTCTTCACTTGGGGGGAAGACCTCAAATCCGTGAACAAAGCACATCTCCCTAAGGCCAAGGGCTTGGTGATTGCATCTGAGCCTGGCTTGGATGTTTTTGTAGCCGTCGGCGCTACACTTGAGTGACTGGGCTCCATGTCACCAGCTGTGAGCCGGGAATGCGAGGATCGACCAGCGAGCATAGGTCACCTCCTATTAAAGGAAGCATTCCTGGAGCATAGGTTTCGATCACCCTCTAACAAGCTTTAGGATACTTGCCATCTGCAGCTCTTGTGGCTGCTCCCCCAAGCAGAACTGACCTGATGTGATTGAACACCGCAGCATTTGCGGCTGCAAAGCCCGGAAGAGTCCCAAGAATGACGAAAGCTAGGCATTTAATACCTTGCTGCAGTCGTAAAAAAGCTGCGTTGGGCGACCGAGCGACCTGTTCTAAAGTAGTGATTCATCCCATTGTCCAAGATCTACACCGGTGAAAACTAACATTTTTTGCAAAAAAAAACACATATTTTTTTGGGGGGGCATATGTTAGTCTAGTTTCCGAGCGGACATCGTTGAGACTAACCTAGACCAAATTCAGATGGTCCATGTTAGTGTCAAAATCGTTCATAGACTGAGAGTGGGAGCGGTCCATGTTAGTGAGGGTCCAGAAATTGCCCAAAAAAGCGCTAATACCGTTTCCCCAGGAAGTCACCGTTTCCAGTGGTCCATGTTAAAGAGCACTTGAAATTGAGTTCTGGTCTATGTTGTTTTTCCCCGGAGTATCTCTGACACCGACTGGACACCCAAAGTCTCTGCAAAAGCGTCGAGTGGAACCGAGATCTGCCGGAGTGGTTGCTTCCGTTCCATTCATCGTTTAAGCTGCACCAGGCTGGGCTGCACAACATCGGTGTCCATGGATCAGCTATCATGGGCTTGGGATGGGGTCGACTGTGTCCCAGAATTCCTAGCAACCAGCCCCAGCCCCAGCATCACCCCCAACTCCAAACCTCTCCCCCAACCCCCAAAGCTCACTGTGTGAGGACGCCCGCCGCATCCAACGCCTCAAGACATCAACTCAGTGACACTGCAGGCGTGCAATGCAGCGCAGGCCACGGTGGGGTGGTTCTTTCAAGGTCAAAAAGGCATGGACATTGGTGGGTACGACTGAAAGAAGAGCATTCCTCTCCAAGTGCCTTGGGGGAACGAATTCCAATCCTGGACCTCCACGGTACTGGAGAAAAGAGGTACCCTTGCCGGGCGTCGCAGCGGATAAACAGCGCATACCTTCGCATGGATGTACCTAATCAGTATACTCAAGAATCCCGCCGTTTTGGAACATGCAAACTGTGCAAATACTGAAGGCGGGTCAAGCACTCAGGTAATCCATTCATATTACCAGCTTCTTCAGTACGTGACCTTTTTGGAGTCCAATGACTCTGTATACAGGCCAGTCTGTGACCTCAAACCAACCAACCAGGGGCTGAAGTTCGGTCACAGACTGAAGAACGCAGGTCCATCTGATCTCCCGGAGTAAGTACAGATCATGGGCGGGGTACAGTACCTACATCTCTTGGATGCGGGATGCTCATGCTAGCTCATGATGCCACCCACTTGGGCACTCAACATGAACGAAAAAACACGCCAACCCCCCGCATCTGAGGGTGACTCCTTTTGGGCTCTCTTTCGATCCGGACTTCGGATCGAACCCCCGGAGCTTCGCCGGAGGGCGAGACGGGGCACCGTCGGACCCCTCGCGGTCCGTTGGATGAGAAGCCGTTCGAAAAGGGCCGGGGACCTAAGGGATCCTGCACCCTGCACCAGGATCTACCCAGAAAAGGCACAAGGATTTCCAGTCCCCTCACACTGCGGGGCCTTGCAGCCCTGCGGGGCTGCGGGTTTTTTGTCTGGTCACCGTGGTCTTTTGGAGCCCAATCTTCCATCCACACTCTATTCTTTGGCATGTGGCATGATGTGGCTCTGGGTCAAAAAGCCGGGGGGCTATGGTTGACCACTGAACATGAACAGAATAGATTACCAGCCAGGCAGCCAGACTTTGGAGCTCCAGGTCCTGACGAAAACCCAAGGGCCAGGCCACGATAGAAGTCAATGCGACTCAAAACTGCCAATTAGAGTTCTTCTTTCGGTGCTGACATGGTCCTGATCACTTCAGGTAGCCACCCTGCCAACCCCCAAACCCACAGGTAGCTTGTGGTAGATGCTGGGTGCTGTCTATACAAACCACCCGTGTTTCCTTGACGCCATGATCCACCGTCTCCGCTGATATCGAGCGGCGCCGATGGCTAGCAGCACTCCGGTGAAGAAGAGGAGCCCGGCGAGGTCCACCTTCCGATGGGTACAGTACCCTGCTGCAGAAGAACAAGGACCCTCCAAAAACCACTGGCACTGGGTTAGTATTGGGAAAAGGGTCGAAGCCACGGATCAACTTTCAGGGTTCGATTAACGGTGACTAACGAGTGCAGGTGGGTACTGAAACCAATTGCTATAACCAAATAGACCAACTGTCCTCTCAACCCTATTCCAGGCATACGTGCGCTATCTCCGAACCTCAGAAGCATGTGCACAGAATGCATGGATTCTGTTGCACTGGGGGCGAACATTCAATTTTCAAACAGCTTCAAACCAAACTTGAACGGCTTAATGGTCTTCCCTTAATGATGATCCTTTTGATCAGCTAAGCAGTCTTCTGGAGGAAGGCTACAATCAACAGACTTGGGGGAATAGAAAGCAGGATGGCTTGCTGAGGATTTTCCGGTCCAGGGAGTATGGGTGGAGTAATGACAAGTCTTTACCCATTACCTTCCTTGCAAACATGGGAAGTGGATGGTATGGCACCTGTAAAGACCATGTTCCGAACACCAAACACGGGGTGAACTCCACTTCCATGTTTGTTGCAGGGAGTATCCATCATTATACAGTAGTCAGATCTAGCATGCTGTGGATTCTGGATTCTGGTCAACCGTTATTGTTGCACGTGAAGAGTCAGAGTGTTTCCGAATCATCATCCCCAAGTGGCCCCAAGTCTTGAGAACAAGAGCGAAGACGGCTACAAGTACAAAAACACCACTCCCTCGTCTCGTGTGCACCGCATGTATCTGTATCTTCAGTCTTGTCTGAAAGGCCCCCTGTTTATGAAAGGCTGGACCCATCTTGCAAACCATCCCGAACATCAATTGCCGGCACGCAAGTTTGGGTACGGGTAGTCCTGCCACACCCAGGTTCAGTGCCAGGTCGCAAAAGGCCCACCTACAAGAGGTTAAGTGACCGTAAATAGGACCCGTCACCAGGGGTATCTATAGATCTATAGGATAGTCTAGTTCGGGTTCTGCAACCTCTGCTAGCAAAGACCTTCCGTTTTGACCGGCAGTGACGAAGACGACTGAGAACACCCCCATCCGCCGGTCCGGTTTGGCCGGCCTTCTTCATGGCGCTCACCACCCCGTGTTGAGGAGGACCGTGGTCTGCCGAGCAACGAACAAAAACTGGTCAGGTGGGTGCCACCGTGGCACTTCGGTTGGTTGCTAAGGGGTTCTGTCACTCGAACCAATCCTCCCTGTCAATCCCCCAAAAGAGGGGTTGGTGACTGACAGCTGGTCAGCAACAAGCCCAAAGGTGGGTGAACTGGTGGGTGATATGTTTCGAAATGCAGTCAAGCTACCCAGCGGAATGGTCGAGCTATCCAGCTATCCAGCTTCAAGTAATACTTCAGGCAAACAAAAGTTTACGCTTGTTAGCCTTCTTACAAAACAC